TGGCAACCTAGCCCTGGAACTTGGAGTGGCAAACCACATAAGGCCCCGATGGTTAGGCGGTGATACTGACCCAGACGATGTGAGAAAGTTTTCAAAGTTCAGATCTACCTTCAATTGTAAGCTTCGCTATGTGTAACTGGCTTCGATCCTCACCATGACTTAGGGGAATATACTGAAGCCAATTTCGTTGACCGTTGTCTGGCTCACAAAGTATGCAAAATAAGACTGCAAGGTCATCAGGGAGTAAGCTCGCTTTGATAATGGGAGGAAAGGAAAGTAAACGCAATTATCAACACGAAGAGTGCATTTACACGCTTTCAAGTACTGTGTGAAAGAAAAACGGCAGAAACAGCGTCACTGCCGTCGATTCGCTACAACGTTCCCCACTGTATCCAACAAACCAGTTGCAGTCTTTCAGACCCAACTCCGGAAGAGGAGAGAGGCCTACCCTACCTAATCTTGTTGAGCATTCCTTCATGTCAACACGTCATCTATTGACCAACATGTGGTTTTGTGGAACCTAGAGCGGTAACTACAAACAGTATGAAGTGCGGCGGAGCTGCGCAATACGCGTCCTAATCAACGAAACCTACAAAACTGAATTCGGTGTGACGAATTTTGTCATTCGAACTGGTGTAACTTGTACTAATAAATTCAATAGTCACTTCATGCATTGATGTGCTCTCGAGAATACATAAATGTCGAGGCTTGATGGATTAGCAGTTGGAACCATCTTGTGTAGAAGAAAAAGCCACACAAATAACATTTGGTGTAAAAGAGCACCACTTATTGAATACCTTCGAGGAAAATTTATGCCAGTAGTCCAGATGTCTTTTGGGGTGCCAGTTTCAAGGAACATCTCCCTTGCAAAGAATATTTAGAACTATTGCTAATGGTAAACGGAAGTGAAAGCTGAGTTGATATAATTTTGGTAGGTTGAAATTAAGTCTTCTTGAATTCAGTGGAAATGACAAGAATAAGTCCAATAACAGGTGTTTCAGTAGAGTTGGTGGAATTCACATTTTGGTCATTACTACTTGCGAAAATTTTCAAGGCTTTTAGCGGTAAGTTTGCGGATACATCAGTGGTCGAATACAGAAAATCAATTAGCATCCTCAACGCGAAGGGACCAGGTCTTGTAACCGTAAAGCACAACCCTAGGAACCGCGGCGATGTACACCCTTCCCTTAAGGGACATTCGAATACCAATGCGGTGTCACAGGTGTCGCGTGTTGGTAAAAGCTGCTCTGGCATTTGCTATTCGTGACGTTCAGTTCTTACAACCATTAACCATGCACTTTCGTGCGCCGGTTTTGGTTGCCCATTTGGATAAAACAGCAGAATGATCATTAGAATGTTGATAGCAGATTGAAGCGGAAGATAGCGCATTTAAATAGACTGAAGTTACAAGAATAATGAGTAGATGCATGAGCGCCACTGTTTGCGACACTCGGCCATATCACTGTGTTTCTAACCATCGGTGACCATGATCTCGGGGTCATCAGCCAGGGAGCTTAACGGGACCTATATGAGCCAGTCTCCTGGTCAGGGATTTTATACCCTCATGCCAGGTCTTAGCTTGACCGCCCTGTTTTTTCCCGGCCACTACCTGCCTCAGCAAGCATCGCTCACTGTGGCAACCTATCTGATGATATGCGTGATGTGATCTCTCCAACACCACCTTCAGCTGTGGTCAAGCCATCGAGGTTCTTAAAGTTCTTAACTACTTCCAGCTGATCACCACAGAGGTTTAATGCAGTCACAGGTTCCCGCTTCTTGGATGGTGCAAAGCACATACCATACCTCAACACCTCGATCACCAATTGGTTCGAAGCGGGTTGGACTGCCTGTGTATGTTCATTCAAAAAGGCGAAATTATGGGGCATATTCTAAGTCAAGTACTTTGTTCACTGGAAAACGTTAGGCTCCACCGTTTGCTAGACCACACCAAGCATTCTGTAGAAAATCCTCTATCACAGAGTTGAAAAGTTATGGGGATATAAGATAGCCTTGGGGAGCTCTACCAAAAACCGCCAAGGGTAATGAAAGCATAGGCCTTAAACCCACCTGAGATTTGAAAATATAACTCCCTGCGGATCGACATATACTTCTCAAGTACTCCCTTTATCAACAAACAGTTCCCTAGTTCGATCCAATCGACAGAGTCTAAGGCTGCCCGGATGCTTAAGAACACGATTATTGGTGGTTTTTGCTAGGCATGACGGTGCTCTAGCAGCTGTCGGAGGGTGAAGATTTGATCTATGCATCCACGACTGGAGCGAAACCCAGCCAGTTCCTCACGCATATTGTACAATCGGTGGATAATAACGGATACCAACAGCTTTGACGCCATTGGGATTGACGCAGTCACTGCGCGGGCTCTCTTTAAAGGTGGGAATTACAAATGATTCCCCAAGAGGAGGGGACCTGCTTGGTGTGCCAAACTTTAGAGAACACGGTTGTCAAATCTTTAACAAGCTTTATTCCACCATCTCTAAATACAGCTGGGGTAGGCCATCGGAGCCCAGCGCTTTGATCTCCTTCCGGATTTCCTAACCAGAAGGTGGATCTGTTGAGAGACTACGGGACGTGTGCCGGAGTAAGTGTGAGAAGCTGGGCGGAGCTTTTCGAAGCACAGTAAAGCTGGCTACCAGTGACAGCTTCAAAATTACATACCACTTCTTTGGCAAACGGAGTTGTCCCTGTATAGAGCAGACTACGAAACCAGTTGGTTTACAGTCCGGCAGTGAGACTTCAAACTAGAGTTAAAAATCAATGGTATCCCTTATTTCCATATTTGCGTTGGTTAGATTTGTTTATTAAATGCACATAGCACATACTGTGCCGCCTGGTTCTCTACTCCACGCCTCATATATCGCTCTCTTTCGCCTTCTGTGGATTATTGAAACAAGTCACCATGTTTGCAGGCGAGTCGGTTCACGGAAGAAACCCATCAACACAAAGGCTATCAATACAAATGCCTCTTTTTACCATGTCGTTTGAATATCTTTGAAAATTGTCAAAGAACTGATTTCACGAACATAATAGGCGCCTGATTGCTTTATCGAGAAAATTGACTCTAAAAGCCTCAGTATGATCGGGGGTGGGTGTCTAGGGTTACGGCTGGTCACCCTTCAGTTGTACCTCGCGAAATTTTCCCATAAAATCAGGCGCCTCAAATAGCGTTTGTTGAAGCTTTGGCTCAACCGAATGAGTTTGCTGAGTTTATCATAGAACTCGTCTTTTTGTGCGCCAGAACTACACTTTGTCGGTGCATACCTTGAAACGATGAACAAAAAGCGTCTGGTGTTGCTTCCCTTCCGGACGCTGATACTCATGGGGCCGCATTGCACATAAGCGACTGTTGACGGGGATCTAATCCGAAGAAGTACCTCGAAGAAAACTTCGTTGCATTGAAATGGTTCATAGTATTAGGATCCTAGATTGGCGTCTCCGATAAGCTGCAGACATCAATCCCATAGCGTCCATTGTACGTGCCAGGCACGCTTTTTGACAGAGCTGCATTAGAGTCCCCACTTCAAAGGCCCTTAGATTCAGCGATTGACGAGGCTTCAGAATCTGCAGTTTACTTTGTAATGAACTAATTACAGTGCTATTTGTCAAACAAACTTTGGCGGGTGACAAACAAGTTACCTGAGGAAATTTTACGTGTTGAAGGAAGGGATAAATGAAGAGGGTTAGGTACGGAATCCAAAGAGTTAAGCATATGTGACGCCTGATCAGTATTTCATTTATAGCTGCTCATTCCGCTCGATGCAATGGGCAGCAAAGTCCTGATCATCCTGAACGACGACCGATGCATATGAAATTATTTAGTCTGTGCGTGCATTAGAGTTTGATGGACGGGTACTTACGGGGTGTCCGGCCACTAAGCAAGAAAATGATTAGGGTTCTGAACCAAAACCTTTCATTCTGACAGAAACCCAGCCACAAGGTAGCGGGTAATGCGAAGTGGAGGCCCCCTTACTTGGATTAATTACGCCTACATTTTCACCGATTGACGCCAATTCGAGTCTTACTTCCAACATAAATGACCAGGAGAATGGACTTTGTCTGACCTTTACCCTCTGAGCTTCTAGGCATGATAAGACCTGAATTCATAAAAGCCATCTTGTGTAGTTCATTGGGTGATAGATGTGCACAAGCCATCACCCCAAAATCAAGATGCAGCCTCATTGTGATAATTTAAACGTGCAACGAGATAGCGTAAATCCCTGAAAAAGTAACAATTTAACGGTTGAGCATAAAAAGATAAAAGTGCACCTGGTAAGCAAACAAACAAAAGCCTGTTTTGAGTCAAGGATGACTCACGAAGGCACCTGATGAGATCCAACCAGTTATCGTCGAGCCACTAGCTGAGGTCATACTAGGACCTGTCACTTAATTGTTTAAGGCAGCNCCGCGATAGTGCCAGAGGACTGACCGAAGACAACCGTCGCAGAAATATGCAAATCGGAGTCCAGACAAACGGCGCAAAACTACAGGCCGATCAGTTTAACAACAGTGCTGTGCAAATGCCTTGAACGAGTAGTCAGAAGACAAATCTGTGCGACCCTGGTGAATCGCAGACTTTTATGTCGTGCACAGCATTGGTTTAACAGGAATAAGTCGTGCTCAATTAATTTACCTTTGTTTCTGGATGAAACTGAACGTCGTTTAGATCAGGGTAGGGCAGTGACGGTAGACAAAAGTGTTAGAAATTTAACGTACGTTTATATACATGCATTATTAGCACGTCTGAATATGAACCGGACACGCATTCATATATTCCTGAAATCACGAATGTGGCATTGCTGATACTCCACATCAAAGGACTGGAAGAATGAGACGCAACCAGCTCAGGGACCGCTGTTGTACTTGACCTCTTAAGCAGACTCAGTGCTTTAGTATCACTCTCTGATCCTTGGGCGAGCGTACACCGCAACCTTATGCTGCTTCCATGGGCAACTGCCTTTGACGAGGCCGGTGTCCATCCAGTGCCGGTATCCGACTCGATAACCACTGGGGATCCTAGAGAATAAAAGTCTTAAAAATCAAAAAACTTACTCGAACAGAGAAATCCTGGAAGCAAAACACATAACAAAACTATGGTTGGATGAAAAAACATTTCAAATCTGTAATATGCAGGTGGTTTCACCGCAATTCACATCTTTCAATAACCCGCGTAGATTAAATTGCCGCGCTTGAGAGTAAATTTATTTCCAGTTCACTTCAGTTCAGTTCATTTTGCACAGAACAGAAAATGGCCACGGCCAATGGAGCCTCCAGAATTCCTTCACTGGTCAGGTCAGGTCAGGCTACACAGGACTGGTAGCGTCCGAAATTCCTTCGGTGGTGTGCTCACTCATGGACTTCTATCTCCTGCACAGCACGGGTTTACCAGGAATAAGTCGTGCTTAACTAATCTAATTATGTTTCTCGACGGGACTACACGTCGATTAGATCAGGGTAGGGCATTGGAGGTATGTTACTTAGACTTCAGCAAGGCTTTTGACTCGGTGAGTCTTACGTTGCTGGACTCGAAGCTACCAACGTTTGGAATAGTCGGGTCAACGCGTCAGTGGCTGAAGCTGTAGTGACAGTATCAACCCTTTCCGCTTATGTACCTTTTCCATCATCCAGACCTTGTTGTTTTACCGGACCAAGATTACCTCGTTGGTCACGGTACCTTGAATTTCACTTTCTGCACGCTTGATTACCTGTACGCTTCTCTCTCTACTCTCCAGCTCATAACAACACAACAGTCGTTGAGGTTTCGTGATATCAGTCTTTCTGCTTTGGTTTTTTACCTCTCCCGTTGTTAAACGTACGAATTCACGGACATCATCAACCCAGAGACTAAATTGGTGAGTCCGACGTGATTTTTTTCCACATTTTATAGTTATCGAGCATTTTAGTTTCGTTATTACTGTTACATTATTTCACTTGCTTAGTCCTTTCATTATCGCTGGGGTAACCTAAGATTTATTTTCACCAACTTTAATAAATTGAGAAATAGACCTCGTGCAATGTTTTTCTATCTACTCATCCCTTGCGTACATAATGCAAAACTCATTGATAGAAGATCAAGTCAGCGCAGCAGTCAACAATAAGCAGCGGGATAGCCCCCACGTTGGTGGTCTATCGGCTCGAATATCAGACTTCATCCCTGAAGACCCGGAGTTTTAGTTAGCTCAAGTGGAAGCACAATTCCGGTTGGACAGGGTGACCAATCAGGTCACCAAATTCACACAAATCGTGGGACATATCCCACGCTCCATGGGTCCGGGCATAAGGGATGTGGTTTGCAATCCCCCACCCGATAGACCTTACGACGCATTGAAAGAGCGATAATCAACTGTTTCAGCATGACGGAGGACAACTTTAGGGACTCGATGGTTGCTGATATTCGTCAGAACCTGTCACTAATGTTTACTCAC